AAAAAGTCACGTGAGCTATCGGTCTAAAATATTTACTACTGCTTCACCTAAGAGTAAAGGAGGACTACTTTTAATTGTTTATCATTCGGTTTAAAGACGACTGATTTAGAGCAGTAAAACTATAGGGGTAAAAATACGTGCAGATACCTAAGTATTGGTTAGGCCAAGCAAATTAGATTAGCAGTTTCCAGCTCAAGTTTTCAAACGAATCATATGGGTGGACAGTTATTATTCATTGCCAACTTTTAAGCACAATTTTGCTAAATTTTATGAAATTTTCCTAGAATGTTTAGTGTCACGTGATATTAGCTTTAGCAGTTAGCGTAAATAACGATGTTTGTTGATGCGGCTGAAACGGCTAGGCCGCGTATTTTGTTTTCCCACCATCATGCCCCATATTGAACAAAAAACGCGGCCTAGCTAGTTAATGAATGAATATTTGCTGTAAAATTCTTATCAATGCTATAAGTGTAGCTACCAATTTGGCCGCCAATTTTGATTTGGCCGCACCTTTTTTTTCACACCTAAGGTGTTTTTTGATTAGATAGTATTAAATACATAAAGTTTAAGTAAACTAAAACAAAATACATACACAAGTTACAGTGTTGATTTATCACTCCATCGAATATAGATCTTACTTAACAAAGGCTTAACTAATATTAGGCCTAAGACAAATGCACTTACGTATATTTAAAGAAGTACTGTTGCAATAAAGACACTAATTTGACCGCAAATGTTTTCCAGGTCTCTGCTAGTTTTGATTTATCACCGTGAGATAGAGCAGCTGAAGAAGTTTGCCATAGATGTACCCTAGATTTAGTTAGGCAACAGCTGATTGGTTGGTTGTTTTCAGCTTAGAGTCTGTAGTGTACCGATACATCGATTCTAAACCAATACTACAAACGTATTCCGTGTTTAAAGTAAATAATATAACGATGTAAAGATATGTAAGTTAACATGTGACAAACATCAGACAAAAATACTCATGACAGTTGAAACGTCAATTTTTGTTTCAAGGTTAATATCTTACAAACTTCGAATATTACAGTTGTATTTCAGGTCTTCGCGGTTGTCAACCTCCACCACTAATTGGCTAAGTGGGAAGTCGGAAGGCTTATATCGCTAAAAATCTGGTTTCTGTTTCGATACCCATGGTGGGCACAGCACAGACAACCAATTATGTAGCTGTGCGCTTAACAAGAAATGAATGGGTTATCAAGTATTTCAGGTTAGAAACCCCAGCATCGCTCGATTTATTGGATCACTTGTTTTATAATTCACCCTCTTTTTTTTTATCCTTAGTTATTTCTTAGTATTCTGAAAGTTCACCTACTTAGTATTCAGCCTAAATTTCCGCGTACTTGGTATTCAGTTTGGTTTACTTAATAATATGAAGTATTTCATTTTCATTTAGAGATGGAAATGATTTACACTCCAATCTATAATCCGCAGAAAACATTATTATCTTAGGACTTGCATGATAAACTAGATGGCAGATTTATCAAAAGTCTGTTGCAGACGTTTTGAAGGTCGTGTAAAGGTCAACCCTTCTGTCAAGAGTGAGACTGAGTTTTAACTCTTCTTGTGTTGAGAATTCACTACGATTTAAAGGAAATGACAATACATAACAGACGCCAGTCGGTTTGGTCTCGAAAGGAACTCGTATCTTAATATTCAACCAATATATATATATATTGCCATGGCAACTTCTTTATTCCTTCTCGTTAGTTTGTTCGGAAGCCCCTAGAGGTCTGGATTTGTTACGGCAGTCGGGTATGTATTGCAAGACGTGGGCGAGAATAAATTTACATACTCCGCAGGTGGATCGGGAATAGTTAGTCCCAGTTGTAAGCCTAGGAAGATCGTGCAATAGAAATGAACGTTTTATGGCTTCCTTATCACATTGAATAAATTATAACGATGATTATGATTGATATCTCAGAGAAAATCGCCATTAAAAGGTATTTTATTATTCGGTGGGCAAACTTACTTACTTATAACTAGCTACATGCTTATTCACTTCTCCATGATTTCATGGTTCGCTTAATCCTGTAATGATAAAGTCGAGTCCTCCTCCCTCAAGAGGACGTACTCTAACTGGTAAAGAGACACGTGACTCGTTGGCTTCATAATATTTCTAACAAAGTGCACAGGGAACACCAATATACGTTATATGTTAACACTTTATAGACGACAACAGTTAGGACAACATTATAGCTTATATAATAATACAGTTAGGACAACAATAGAATATATAATAATAATACAGTTAGGACAACAATAGAATATATAATAATCCAGTTAGGACAACAATAGAATATATGATAATAATCCAGTTAGGACAACAATAGGATATATAATAATCCAGTTAGGACAACATTATAGCTTATATAATAATCCAGTTAGGACAACAATAGAATATATAATAATCTAGTTCGGACAACATTATAGCTTATATAATAATACAATTAGGACAACATTATAGCTTATATAATAATAATACAGTTAGGACAGCTATAGAATATATAATAATAATCCAGTTAGAACAACAATAGAATATATAATAATCCAGTTAGGACAGCAATAGAATATATAATAATAATCCAGTTAGGACAACAATAGAATATATAATAATAATCCAGTTAGGACAACATTATAGCTTATATAATAATACAGTTAGGACAACATTATAGCTTATATAATAATACAGTTAGGACAACAATAGAATATATAATAATCTAGTTAGGACAACATTATAGCTTATATAATAATACAGTTAGGACAGCAATAGAATATATATAATAATCCAGTTAGGACAGCAATAGAATATATAATAATAATCCAGTTAGGACAACAATAGAATACATAATAATACAGTTAGGACAATATTATAACTTACGTTAATACACTAAGTACAACATCATAGCTTAATTAATACAGTAAGTACAACATTATAACATACATTGATGTAGTAAGTACAGTACCATAATTTATATTATTACAGGAAGTAAAATACTATAACTTATATTATTACAGTAAGTACAACATTAAACTTACATTAATACAGTAAGTTCAACATTATAACTTACATTGATGCAGTAAGTACAATACTATAACTTACATTAATACATTACACACCGTAAGCCTTGTCTCGGAATTACACACAATAAGACTTGCCTGGGCATTACACACCATAAGACTTGACTAGGTATTACACACCATAAGACTTATCTAGGTATTACACACCATAAGACTTATCTAGGTAATTACACACCATAAACTTATCTAGGTATTACACACCATAAGACTTATCTAGGTATTGCACACCATAAGACTTGACTAGGTATTACACACCATAAGACTTATCTAGGTAATGCACACCATAACATTTATCTAGGTATTGCACACCATAAGACTTGACTAGGTATTACACACTATAA